TTTTATTTTACCTGTACTTGCTATTCCTCCCCTTAAAATAGATTACCATGTCTTCTAGTTCAGGGGTCTACAGCCAACATGGACATACTAATTTTTCATAGCTTTATTCATTAAAACTAGTGACTATTTGTGCTTTCACTGTACAATTCTTTTAACTTCCCTGCATGTTTAAGATTTTTCATTAAAATATTTTGAGAAAAACTGAATTAGAAAAGAAGTAGGTATGGGCCACTTATTGTCACTGAATAGATAGCAGGTACTTACTTAAAAATTTTATATGTTAATGAAATTTCTAGATATGTACTTTTAAACTCTTACTTTGACATTTATCAGCACACTCTACCACTTAATAGCTCTGTAATCCCTGGGCAAATAATTTCTCTGAGTGTCTTCTGTAACCCAAGAATATGTCACACGTCCAAAGGTAGTGGGTTGGGTCAAATGATATCTTGGTACAATTTGAAGTAATTTCCTGATTAATATTAATAGACAGAAGTAGACTATACAACTCCAACTGCCTTAATTTGTTAACAGATATAAGCTTGTGTGCACGTGTGTCTGTGTTGGGGGGGGGGGACCTACAGGAAATTGCTATTTTTATACTCAGAAATTGTCAAATATCAGAAATTTTCTATGGTCCAGTCTAATACATGCTGATATTTATAATACAACTTCTACGAGATATTCTATTTATCCAACGTGCACTTACTGGGCACATACTTTATGTCAGCCACTAGCCTCCTTGTACATCAGATACAAAGAGGAAGAGTCCCCACACTAGAGAAGCATATAGTACAGTCTCTTTTTCCCAAGGTCTGTGATCTCACATCACTGTTAGTGATGCTTATCACATGCCATAGAAACACAGAGGACAGACCACTGCATCATTGAAGAAGACTTCAGTGAAGACATAATAGAAGTCTCCCAGAAAAGTGAAAGAAGGGTAAGGGCACTCAGGGACCACTGTGAGATGGCATGTAGGCATGAAAGGATTTGTCTTGTGAGGGAATAATGAGAAGCTCAGTGTAATAGAAGCCTGTAAGGCGGATGTATGAGGGATCTGAGGCAGGAGGTGAAGATTGGGTCATAGTGTAAAGGTCATGCTGAGGACCTTTTATCTTATTTACAATGTCATTATCAGCTTTGATTTTGAAAAATATTAATTTTAGATAGACAATGTGGATGATACACTAAAATTGGGAGAAGCAAGTCTCCAGGTGACAAGACAGAAAGCTGTTGCAAATGAAAGCCAGTAGGAGGGTGGAAAAGAGAGGCTCGATTCACAGAGATTTCTGGCAATAGAACTGACGAGATTTGGTAACAATACCAAATATATCTTTAATCAAATTTAGGAAGTTTTAAGTCATTGTTTCCTCAAATCTTTTTTCTGCATTGTTTTCTCTAGATCTCTTTTCAGACTCTACTCATATTCATGTTAGACCTGATATTGTCCTACAAGTGACAGTTCATCTTCATTCATTTTTATTTTAAATATTTTTCCTCTTTGTTATTTAGATTGAAGAATTACTGTTATCTATCTTCAAGTTCATTGGTTCTTTCCGCCATCTTCAGTGTGCTCTTAAACCCATCCAGTAGGGTTTCTTCTTCCTTTCAGATATTGTCTTTTTTAGTTCTATATTTCCCATTTGGTTCTTTTTTAGAGTTTCTATTTCTCTGTTGAAATTTTCACTACTGACTTATTGCGATCATATTTTTCTTTACATTTTTATATAGTTGTAACAGCTGCTTTAAAATCCGATCTGCTAATTCCAATTTCTCAGAGTAATTCTCTATTGGTGACCTTTGCTCTTCAGTCTGGGTATCACTTCCCTGTTTTCCTCATGTATTTAGTCATTTTATTTTGCAACAGGAGTCTTGTAGAGAATATGTTACATTTCTGGAGCATACTGATGTGATGTTTTGCTTGTTTTAGCAGGAAGATACCTTGGCAACTTAAACTCCAAATTCTGTTTGCCCTGCAGTGGTCAGCAGCTGAACTCTCTGTTCAATCCTTTCAATCTTAGATGGCTGTTCCCTACCACACATGCATACCTCAGAGGTCAACCAGATATTGGACAGAGCCAACATGCAGAATTTGGGCTCTCCTGTGTCTCTCTCCTTTCTGGGATTTTCACCCTCACTCTCCAGTTGCTACAGTAACCCTGAATACAGTGCAGACTAGGGCTGCCTTCAGGTGACAAGCATTAAATATGGGAAGTTCACCAAACACTATTCTCTGTTTCCAAGTACCAATGCTTCTTCAGTTTCTGCCTACCTTTTTCTGTCCTCCAGCAGCTTGAGAGAGTTGGAAAAAAATATATACTCACATACACACGTGTGTGTGTATGCACCTGTATGTGTGTATAAAGTTATATGTATATTGTGTGGGTATGTATATAATTGTTATCACTGGAATGTTGATCTGATCTGAGCTACTCTGCCTTTACCAAGAGAACCCTTACCTAATATAAGATTAGATGTATTCTCTGTTTAGAAAGTACCTAGGGGAAAAAATCAGTAAGTAAGAAAGTCCTCAAATGAAAACTGAAATATATTAAGAATAACCCAAAAGAAAAATGAGCAAAAGAATGAACAAACATTTTACAGAGGGGGAAACACAAATGGTCAATAAACATATAAAAAGTGATCAACTCTAGCAATAGTCAAGTAGCTTCAAATTAAGATAACAATATTATATCTATTTTTAACAAAAATTAAGACGACTAACAAAACCAACATGTGGATCAATGCGAATGTGTATACAGTGCTAATGGGAAGATAAAATTGTACCCCAGCAAATAACTTGATACTCTTGAAAAGTTAATCATTTGCTATTCCATTCCAAGATATACACAATATACATACAACCTCAAAAATCTCTTTGTGCATCAGGAGTACTAGAATGTTCAGGGAAGCATGTTTCACAATAACATAAAAAAAACCCCGGGGAAACCAAATGTCCACTTACAAAATAGTAGACAAATTTTGTGCTTGCTTCAACAGCACACATACTAAAATCGGAACGATACAGAGAAGATCAGCATGGACCCTGTGCAAGGAAGCGTTCCATATTTAAAAAAAAAGACTAGACAAATTTTGATACATTCTCAAAGTTCATATTACACAGCAATGAAAAGAATGACCTATCACCAGACAATAATATGTATTATCTTAGAAACCGTACCAAGTAGAAAAAGACTAGATATATACATTATGAAATCATTTTTATAAAGTTCAAAAAAAGGAACTAAATAATATTTCAATTCACATGGCTACACAGAAAAGTTAATTTTTTAAAGAGTGATTAATGAAAAATTCAGCATAGAGGTCATCACTAGGCAAGAAACAGGATATGAATAAGTAAAGAATAAAAAGGTATTGGTATTTTTCTCATTCTTAAGGAGGGGATGGGTTCACAGGCATTCCTTTGAAAACATGCTTCATAAATTATTCATATTTACATATAATCTTTTGTATGCATAAAGTAAAATATTAAAATGTAGAAGGGGCTGAAAATGAAGAAAGCTTGGAAAAGGATGAATAAAAGTTTAGTAGCAGGAAGGATGTCTTGTTGTCATGTTTTTAGCTGAGTAAATACTAGTTAGCTAAATATATTTTTTGTAAATCTCAACTTAGACATTTAAATAATTAGGTAATCAGATGTCTTTTAAAATTAACATATTTTTTGGAGTAGCAAGGCTTTCAAAAGTCATATTTGTGTCAAAAAAAAATGACATTCTGAGTATTCTTAACATAGTAATTGTATAAAACATATCTTTTTTTTTGGTGAACTAATTTTGACTTCAACTTTCTATACACATGTCCTGGTGCTTGTAAATACACTTAGTACTAAAGCTTATTATTTAGATTGGTCCTCCCCTTTAGTCTGCAACTAGTTTGATAGCATATACTAAGCAACTATTGTTATTGAGGCGGAGAATATTAAAATTCATCATTCCCAAATGAGGTTTCTGAGATAAGTTCTCTCCTACCCCAAAATCTTGTCTAAACTAATATGTGCTTTTTCTTTTCAAGATGTGGGTCACTTTGAAAGAAGTGTTTTTTTATAAGAAAACCATGTATGATTAATGCTAATTTGAAAAGTTACCCTAAAATTCTGTGGTCTTCCGAACATCACATGATGAAAAAAAAGCTATTTGGGATTGTACTGTAGGCTTCCCAAAAAGGCCAAGGAGTCTTTTTCTAGTGATGTTATAGAGTTCATCTTGAAAGCAGCTGGGAATATTTGGGGAAATAGTCACAATTTAGAATGTAGTTAGATTCTTAGTCATCACGGTAAAGAACATACCAGACAACAATCAAAATGCTAGGCTTTCTCAGACCAAGGATGGAAAGTGACTTGCAAATCTAGAAAAGATTTCCAGAGGGGAAAACAATTCTTACTTGTTTCTTCTACTTACCAAGTATGTTTTAAGTTCTAATGGGTTGGTTTCTCCAGTCTGGTGATACTAGAACACTGAAAAATAAAAGTATAAGGGATTAAGAGCAGGGAAAAGTTGAGATCCTTCCTATTCAAGTGTGGTTTGCTGACCAGATGGGATTCTGGTTGAAATTCAGCATCTTGGGGCCACCCAGACTTTCTGAGTCAAAATCTTCATTTCCACAAGACCCCCCACATGATTGATGTGCACACTAATTAATGTAGACTAGGTTTATTTCAAATAAACTTACATAAAAATCACTTGCTTTTCTTCAGGTTATTATGTTCCATGGAAATGCTTATGAATAATAAGGAAAGCCTAGAGAGAGATGTTGCTATTTCCTTTTAATCTCTCTTCTAACTAAAAAAAACAAATGATTATTATATCTTCTTTCCTGGCTATTAGTTTTCGTGAACTGGGAAAGCTAGAAAAGCAGGTATTTCCCTTAGGATGAAGGACACACACGAGATCTTCAAGGGCAAATACTAAGCTAGAATTATTGTTCTGTTGAAAATTCTTTCCTGTTGTTTTTTTTTCCTTTTGAGTTAAAAAAAAAAGACCAAAAAGCCACCTCCTTATCTCAGTAGACATTAACCTTCCAAAGCAGGAAGGATGAGTTAAGAAGAATTGCAAGTACCCAGGTAAGATACTGCCATCAGAGTTTACAGGCAACATGAAACTAAAAGTTTTTTACTTAGAAACTAGCCTTTTCTTAATTTCCGCATGTAATCTGCCAGCAAATCCTGGCAGTTCTAGGTCAGCTGTACGATTGGCAGCTGTGCTCCATTTCTTCTGAAAGGCTTATCCAAATCAGCATTGTCTCTCTCCTGAGCCAGAGCAACAGCCTTCTAACCAACTGGCCCCCTCTAGCCCCTCTTAACTCCCTCAAGTCCTTCCCAGAGAGCAGTCAGGGGGGCCTCTGTAAATGCAAATCAGACCATCCCCTTCATGGTTCAGGCCTTCCATACCTCCTGTGCAACGGCCCAGTGAACCCTACATGGAAAGGCCCCTGCCTTCCTCACCACACGGTATCCCCCTGCCTCCCCATGGTGAACCCACACCAGCTTCAATCCTCCATTTCTGGCCCTTTCCTGCCAGGGTCTCTGCACCTCCTCCTCTCTCTTCACCCCACCACACTCTGTCTCATTCTCATATTTCAACTCAAAGGTCACGTCTACGGAGAGGCCTCTCGTGGCCTGGCCACCTCTCCAGAAATAGCACCTGCCTCCCATACCCTGTTGCTCTATCACTCACTGTTTCTCTCCTAGTATCCTATAATATAAACTGTAATGACCTTGTTGATGGGTTCTCCTGCTTCTTGCCTGTCTCCCTGACTAGGCTTTGTGGTTCATAAGCATAGGGACTGGCCTATCTTTCTCACTGGTCCATCACTAGCGCTCAGCACAGTACCTGGCACACAGAGGTGCCTAGTAAACACGTGATGAATGAAGCAGGGAGTGAAATTAAAGGAATTAACATAAAGGTATGGCTCTTAGATGGTTACTAAACATATATTGTAGTTCATTATTTCTTTGTAACTTTGTTCAAACAGAAAAAAAACCCTTAAATATATCCCAGTGATATCACTGAACTATAAATCATCATTAATATCACCTTGATGTGGGTGGGTGGCTCAGTCAGTCAGCTCAGGTCATGATCTCACAATTTGTAGGTTTGAGCCCTGCATCGGGCATTGTGCTGACAGCTCAGAACCCAGAGCCTGCTTCAGATTCTGTATCTCCCTTTCTCTCTGCCCCTCCCCTACTTGTGCTATCTCTCTCTCTCTCTCTCACTCTCTCTCTCTTTCAAAAATAAACAAACATTGAAAAAATTTTTCAGCCAGTCCATACTTATAATCCATAGACATTGTGGCCACTCAACTGGGGAGAATATACTGGTCACCCAAGTTATCCAGCCCAAATCACCCTGTATACTGCCCACAAGTATTTTCCTAAGAATCATATCTAATGTCACACTGACAGAAGGCACAGTTGTCTACCCAATCCATTTTCCCCTCTCCCTTCCTAATAGACCTGTATTGTATTTGGAACATAAATGTGCCCAGACAGCACTTCTCAGCCTACCCTGCAGTCAGGTGAGTCAGTTCTGGCCAAAGAGACAGAAACTTAAATCTTCAGAGAAAATTTTGCATTCTTGATAAGGATTCCAATAATTGATTGCTCTAGGATGCTCCCTCCTGCTACCAACCTGGAACGTGAACATGGTGGCTGGAGCTGCAGCAGCCCCCCACTCAACCATGAGGAAAATATGAAGACAATTACAGAGATCTTGCTCTGGATAGCCACAAGACACTGAACCCAAACCAGCAACTTCTTACTTTCAAATTTCTTGGTGAGAAAACACACGTGATTTTGTCTAATCTATTGTTTCACCAGATTTTCTGATATATTCTGCTACTTTAAAACCTGTGGTGAGTCTTTACTGACTACAAGCTAAAGTCCAGACTTATTTCCACAGAACCCAGGAGTTCCTGCAGTCTTATCCAAGCCCTGTTCAGCCGTCTCATCCCATTCCTCGGCCATGTTTTCCTAGACTCCCTCAACTACCTGCCCCCACCAAGGCTCTCTAAACTTTAAATGAGTATGAACGTCTCACCTTTCCCTATTACATCATCTCACCTTCCCTCCCCTTATTCTCTCCATGACAAGCAGAAACATCTTTTAAGAACCAGTTCAAGCATCCTTCCCTCTGCAAGCCTTACACATCTGTCTGAGGCAGAGTTCGTGCTCATTCTTTTATGCCTCTCAGTGCCATTACACTAGGGCCTGTGCCCTAACTGTCCTGTTATGCACCTGTTCCCTCTGGTCTGTGAGACATTGGCCTGGTATCTCATTCATCTCTGCATCTTGATTAAAACATCTAACGCTCCATTGGTTACCATACCCCTAAAAATCATTCACCAAATAAAGGAAATAATGTCCTTCAGCCCATAGGTACTGTTTTGAAACAGTATATCTCACTGTGTCTCTCCATGAATAATTTCTTTTTAAGCACCTACTGTGTGCCAGACTCTATACTGAGCACTAACGATGAAGCACTGAACAAAGTAGACAAAATTCTGTCCCTGTGTAGTCAATTCCTCTGTTGAAAAACTTATACCAATTGAGTACAAATCAGTTAAAGGGCATTGCAACATATCAACTGTAAGCAGTAATAAGTCATGAAGGCAGAGTTGATTATACACACCAGAGCAGTAAGAGAATGCAAAACATATCATTTAGAAAATAAAACAGAAATTTACGGCTGCCTCATCAGAATGTTAAAAAAATAAGCAATAATTTGTTTTCCACTGTTTATGCTGGATCTAGTTACTACTATGGAATACAAGAATACAAGTAAAATGAAATAGAAATACTTCTCAGATACATGCACATTGATGTTTCTTACATGATTGTTATATTAAAACAGTCAAAATTTGGAAGTAATCTAAATATTCCTCAATAGGCGATCCATAAATAAAATATGGTAATTTCATACTACAGAATATTACACAGCCATTGAAACAATGAGGAAGCCTTATAGCTATTGCTGTAGAAAAAAGAAAAAAAAAAACCCTCCAAGATATATTACCAAAAGAGAAAACAAGCCACAGAATAGTATACACTGCAGAAGGAAGAATGAAAAGGAGGGAGGAAGGGAATCAGGGATGAAAACTGACACAAGAAAAAAAAGAACTGAATAGCACTGATTCTATGAAAGAAATTAAATTTGTAATTCCTTTCTCAGGAAAAAAACATCAGGCCCAGTTTTCATCCTTGATTCCTATGAAACATTTAAGGAAAAAAGAATACCAATCTTCCAGAGAAAAGAAACAAGGAAATATTTACAATCTCATTTTATGTGGACAGCATGTTGACATCAACATCTGATAAGAATTTTAGAAGAAAGAAATACAAGAACAAGCCATCCTCTCCCAGAAAACATAGTTATAAAAATCATATGCACAATATAAACAAATTAAATCCAGTGGTATAAAAAAAAAAGTAAAACACCACAACCAAGATTGACTCCCCCTAGAAATTCACAGGCAATTTAATATGTGAAACCTACTCCATCAAGATAAAAAAAAAACTTCTGCGCAGTGAAGGAAACAATCAACAAAACTAAAAGGCAACCTTCAGAATGGAAGAAGATATTTGCGAGTGACATATCTGATAAACGGTTAGTATCCAAAATCTCTTAAGAATTTATCAAGCTCAACCCCCAAAAAATAATTCAGTGAAAAAATAGGCTGAAGATATGAATAGACATTTTTCCAAAGAAGACATCCAGATGATTAACAGACACGTGAAAAGATGCTCAACATCACTCATCATCAGGGAAATGCACAATGAGATATCACCTCATACCTGTCAGAATGGCTAAATTTAAAAACACAGGAAACAACAGATGTTGGTGATGATGTGGAGAAAGGGAGACCCTTTTACACTGTTGGTGGAAATGCATACCGGTGCAGCCACTGTGGAAAACAGTATGGAAGCTCCTCCAAAAGTTAAAAACAGAGCTACCCTATGACCTAGCAATTGCATTACTAGGTAGTTACCCAAAGGATTCAAAAATACTGATTTGAAGGGGCACGTGCACCCCAATGTTTATAGAAGTATTATCAACAATAGCCAAATTATACAAAGAGCCCAAGTGTCCATTGGCTCGTGAATGGATAAAGAAAAAATGTGGTGTATGTATATACAATGGAATATTAGCCATCAAAAAGAATGAAATCTTGCCTTTTGCAGTGATGTGGATGGAGCTAGAGTGTATGATGCTAAGTGAAATAAGTCAGTCAGAGAAAGACAAATACCATAAGATTTCACTCATATGTAGAATTTAAGAAACAAAGCCGATGAACATAGGGGAAAGAAAAAAAGGAGAGAGAGAGGCAAACCATAAAATGTACTCTTAACAACAGAAAATAAATTGAGGGGAGGTGGGCAGGCAGATGGGCTAAATGGGAGATGGGTACTAAGGAGGGTACTTGTGATGAGCACTGGGTGCTTTATGTAAGTGATGAATG